CATGAATGAAATGACATGATGTTTCCTATTTGCTTCAAAATAATATGGGTCAATGCACAGAAGAAAGAAGATTGGCCGAGAGTTGATAATTGTTGAGACTGGAGAATGGATACTTAAGGATTCATAATATCAGTCTGTTTATTTTTGCATATGCTTATGATTACCCTAATAAAAAAATGTTTTAAACAGTGGGTAAAATATTAAATGAATTAGTATCATCAAATCATCAGTTACTAGAAGAGACTATCAACACAAATTTGATTGCCGTAGTCTCAAGTTCCACAAGGGCAAGATTTATAGCTTAAGCTACTTTATATCCTGGACCTGTGTCTTTTACATGTAATATTGTAGGAGCTAAATATATGGTTTTTTGGATGAATTAATGAACTTTATTCTTGTTGCTATAATAAATTCGCAGTGAATCCTTTCCAGCAAATATCACATATCCATGTAAACTGTATTTTATTAGACACTTCTCATTGAGTAGCATTGGCTCAGCATCGGATTATTCAAGCCAAAATCCTAGAATTATCTTTGCTTCCTTCTTTAACTTCATCTTCAATATCTGGTCCCTCACCAAATCCCATTGGTTCCACTTCCAAAATGTGCCCCATATCTGGCTACTCCTGTCACCTAGTTGCATCATCCATCACCGACTGTCTAGAGGGTAGAAACAGTCAGAGACCACTGGTAAGAAGAAAAGTACAATCCAGAGTCCTATTATTCTCCCAGTCTCCACTTCTCCCCTTCTACAGTCCATTCACCAGAAAGAGCCTAAGTGATGTTCCTATCACAGCAAACAAGGCCTGTGTGCTCTGGCTCATTTGGACTGTATCTTAGTCACTCAGTTCTGTTCTGTGAACACAAACCCATCAGACACCTTGTACCCTGGAGCCATGTCCTTGTTTCTGTTGCCTGGACTGTCTTCCCCAGTTTCTCTGCATGATGGGCACTTTAGTTCCCCGTCCAAGTTCTCCCTTAGGGATACCATCCCTGATGTGTAGTTTCCTCTAGCACTGACTATGAACTGCCTGGCTTATTTACTTATCACGCATTTCCTGAAAAGAAGCTCTGTGTCTCTCTCCCATCATTTTTCCAGAGTCCACCATGATGCCTAACTTGTAAAAACCACATTTCATTGAAATCTAAGACATGATCGATTGTAGGTGGAAGTATTATATTATGCGCCACCAAGAAAATAAAAACTGCAATTAAACTATGGCACAATGCTGAAGACTATTGATGATAAACAATCCTGACTTTTGAGATATTAAAATGCTGAAAAAAATGTTTCCTTTAACTGATGAAACACGTATCTTGTTGAATACACAAATGAATACACTTTGCTTAATCATGATTACTAATCTGGGGCGCCTGGGTGGCTCAGTGGGTTAAAGCCCTCTGTCTTCGGCTCGGGTCATGATCCCGAGGTCCTGGGATCGAGCCCCGCCTCGGGCTCTCTGCTCAGCAGGGAGCCTGCTTCCCTCTCTCTCTCTCTGCCTGCCTCTCTGCCTACTTGGGATCTCTGCCTGTCCAATAAATAAAAAATGAAAAAAAAATCATGATTACTAATCTGCTAGTGATGTTTTTTGAGGAAATTATTCTGAGAAAGATACGTAGAGGCCAAGAGATTGCATAGGTCATGAGTAGCATTTTATTATGAAAAAGGATAGTATTAGTATGAAGAACTATGAGTAATTCAAAGAACTGTATGAGTAATTTTTTCAAACTACCAATTACTAGCTTATCAGCAATGATTCAAATTTTGTAGATCCTGGGTGGGCCATAAAACTTGAATTCTCAGAAAAGCCTTTAAGAGACTCAAGCAGTTGTCCTGGAGGTTGATTCAGACCCTAAACTTGAAAAAGAAGGAGGGCAGAAAAGATGGGGACAGACATAGATTCAGAGAGAGTTCGTAGTGGGAAGATGAGGAACCATGATCATGTTGCATCTATCTGCATAATAAAATAGAGATTATTTGGTTTGGTGCAGTGGGGTAGGGATTTTGGAGCTTTCAGAAAGAAGAGAAGGTATGGAATAAGCCAAATGCATAGAGTTTGAGAGCATGAAGAAATTGTGCGTTCTATGGAAATCGATAGGTATGCAGACAGATTGGAAAAACACTGAAGAAAACAAGGTCTTCTGGTTGGATGTCAGATGGTAAGCCATACCTAAAGTGGTGTGGTGTGAGCACTCACTGCTGGAGAAGTGACAAGAGAACCTGCTCCCTTGAACTGCCTTGGATTGTTCTGGTCCCTAAACTATATTCCATTTCTCTAAGAGCTGACTATCCCTGGGTGGCTCTGAACTCACTGCTTCTATTATTATCCTTTCTATGGCTAAAATAAATCTATAGGGGAGTGAGGTCAGGTTCAAACATTGACCTGGGAAGAAAAAAATTGACTCCCATCCTCTAAACTATGCTGTTCCTCAATAAACACGAGTCACTGGAAATGGCCCAAGGGAGCTCCTTCTATGTGGAGTGAAAAGAAATTGTTTTTCACTTGCTGAAAACTGGAGGGGTTTTTGTTTTGTTTTGATTTTTTAATTTTCTTATGAGAACATCCAGACTTTGGGGACAGCTTCATGCTCTTGCCCTTATGCTCTGATTCCAGTTCATCTGTATGCCCTTAGCTTTCTACACCTGACTTTGTGGTCCAGGCTTACTGATCATCTTTCAGGAGCTCTAAAGCTGTCATCTTAGGTTAGGATGCTTGTACCTTAGGGCAGCATACATTTGATCCATTTAGGAGGTGGGGAAAATTGGGAGTACCCCTGCTGCAGTGCCATACTCTCTTACTACCCGGCCTTTGTCCATGTTGTACCTTCTGTTTGCTTGAAACCCCTTCACCCAGTTTGGCGAGGTCCTACTAATCTTAAGATCTCGCTTGAGGGGCACCTGGGTGGCTCAGTGGGTTGAGCCTCTGCCTTCCACTCAGGTCATGATCTCAGGGTTCTGGGATCGAGTCCTGCAACGGGCTCTCTGCTCAGCGGGGAGCCTGCTTCCTCCTCTCTCTCTGCCTGCCTCTCTGCCTACTTGTGATCTCTGCCTGTCAAATAAAATCTTTAAAAAAAAAAAAAAAAGATCTCGCTTGAAACTTCATTTCTTCCTAGAAGGCTCCTCTGAGTCTCCGAAGTGTCAGTTCCTGAGCCTCCCACATGTCCTCTCCTGACACCCTGTTTCTACCTGTCAGGCAGACTCACGGCTCTGGGTCATGATCACCTCTTTGCTGATGGGCACTGCAAACTTCTGTGCCTAACCCCAGTACCTGGCTCCGAAGCAGGCTTGATAAACATTGACAGAATATTAAAAGAGGAAACATGTATTCATTTTTTAAAGGTTTTATATGCTTTGTTAACCCAGTTTCTAATAATGTCAGAGGTGGGTTTTTTTATCTGTTTAAAAATCTTCCAAGGATTTATGTCTTGAGCTATAACTGAAAACAATGTATTAGAAAACTTAATTGGGTTTATAATAACATTTCATAACTCTAACGAGTGTAATAATAAATCTGATTGCAGCTATAAGCAGATATCCTAAAAAGTAAAAATATTATTTTGGGCTGATATTTGAAAAACCTTTCTAGATTGAGTTTTGTACAATAGTTGTATAAGATTATGTAGCAATTGATACTTTCAGCAGGTTGATCCTAAGAAGGTTTATCTAAAGCCAGACTCCTTCATTTCATTATCGGTCTGGCTCATGTCCTTTATTCATATTAAATGTATCATCCCATGCATCCTTCAGCCTGTGGCTTTGTAACTACTCATCGTCAGTCTGTGCCAGATAAACAGCAAAATTAAAAGCAAAGTTACTATGATGTCGGTAGTGTGTTTTTTCAATTGTTCTTTGTAGTGATGTTTTTCTTCTCCCAGACAGCATAGTTTTTCCCCATTCCTTCCTCAGTTTTCATGGAGGGCTTTTTCTCATTAAGGTCAACAGACCTCTTAGAATGTCAGGTTCACCCAAGTGAAAAAGAAACAATTTAGCATTTTTTTGCCGTTTGGAACTTTTGCTGCCTCCCTTTGCTATATTAGGATATGCAAAAGAGATTATGATGCCATGATATATAAATACAGTAAACGCTTCTTGTTCAATACTTATGGAAAACATTTATGGAACTCCTTAATTCTAAGTAGTTTATTTTCTTCATCTTTTGAAATTTGGTTCTGTCCAGACTTTATGCTTTTATCTTTTGCTGTAATCTTTAATGCTAACCTTATCTAGAATCCCATACCAAATGCTAAATGTAGCATTCTAGTACATCCTTCTCCTCTCTCCTAACCTAACTGTGGTCCTGGGAAGAAATTCATTTTATAAATTACATCAGTTTTAGCCAGATCTTGTATGGATTTTTTTAAAAAACTAGTGTGATTGGTGTGATTTTCTTACTTGTTCCTCTGATTCTGGGGACATAAAAACTACTGTGTGTTCATTACACAGAATAGTCAGGGAAAATGAGGTTATTACTGCAATATTGTTAAACTAGTAGGTGATATAAATATATATATATGTATGTATATATACACACACTTTCAAAATCCTTTTTTTTTTCCTTTATAGTAAAGCCACCCTAAGTTTAATGTTCAGACTCTGCAGTACGCTTGGAAAATCTGAACTACCTTTTTATCCTTTAGCTGCCTTACCCTAAAGGCAGCTAAAGCCACAGGCTCACCAAAGAAGCAAATTATCATCCCATCCTTCTGGAAAAAACCCAGAAGGATGGGATGATAATTTGCTTCTTTGGTGAGCCTGCGGCTTAGGTCCATTTAAGTTCACAAATATGATAAGAGAATGCTTTGGAAACTTTATATAGTGATTATTTTGGTACTGCCTGATGTAGATACCAAAGTGATTACCATTTATTATGTTAGAAATCCTGAGAAATGATGGATAATCCTTTACTGTAATCATGACATAACCAATAATATATGAGGAGGAAAAAGAATAGAAAGTTAACCAGTGCCTTTTTTTGTCTCCCATTTGCTCTTTCACACAGGTACAACTTGGCCAAGTAGAAATCAAATGCCCTATCACAGAATGTTTTGAATTCCTGGAAGAAAGAACGATTGTCTTTAACTTAACACATGAAGATTCCATCAAATATAAGTATTTCCTGGAACTTGGCCGTATTGATTCCAGCACCAAGCCATGTCCTCAGTGCAAGCACTTTACAACCTTCAAGAAAAAAGGACATATCCCTACCCCTTCCAGATCAGAAAGCAAATACAAAGTAAGCATGTTCACCAGAGTTGTGGGTTAGATGTCACATGATGCCAAATTAGGCCAACTTGTGGTGGGCATTAAGTGGGCTTTCTTCCCTTACCCAAGTCTAAGGTGAGTATATATTGGCTGTGATTCTGAATATAAGTGGTTTGGGGAGGCTGATGATAAGAAAGCACTCTTGAGGATTTCCTTAAAGTTTTTCTTTGACTTTAACCATGTTCAAAATTCATTTAGTAGCCAAATGGAATGACTAATCTTTTAAAGTAACTGTCACTGCTATTACTAAATATTAAGGAAATATCAATCCTTTTTTTTTTTTTTTTTAGTGTAAGTTTGACTTTTTCGGCAGACCCAACGTGATTCTCCTCTGGCTCCATCTATAATAAGTGAATATAGTATAAAATGCTATTCATTCAGGTACAAAATGCCAGTATGAGCTAGACTGTAAGCTAAGTTTGGGGGATGCAATGGCAAATGTGACATAGTCCCTGCTCCAAAAATGTCTAATGAAGGTGAGAGAGATGTATGTTCTAAAATGACGGTTCAATATGATTAGTCAAAAGAAGAAAACAAAAACAAGAACCCCAGTACACTTGCGCTTTGAGAACACTGATGGAGGAGAAGAGGCTAGGACCTGAGGAGAGACTTCTTGGAGAAGACGTAGTTCTCCAGGCAGATAACCAGATAAACATTGGAGAACACGTTGGAGCAAGGAATGAAGGAATGAGTAAGAGCACAGGCCCCGAGGCTGAGGCGGCCACACTGGAAACAAATGCTTGGTGGGGCTGGTGGGGCTGGTGGGGAGACAGCCAGCAAGAGGCAGCTGTGCAGGTACTTAAAAGCAGATCATGTTGAGTCTTACACTGAGCCCAGAAGTTTGGATTTAATTCTGTAGGCATTACAGAGAGATCATTCTGGCAGCATTAGCGGCGGATGTCACGGGAGGGCAAGACTGAAGGCTGGGCGGCAAAGGCAGCCATTGTGGGAGCTAATCCCTGATTCACAGCGCCCGCTGTCCCTCACCATTACCTGGGGGTCTCTTAGACAACCAGTGCCCCGGGCCCAACCCCCCAACAACACTCTGGCACATTTTTGAGCCTCACTGGGTGTTGCTAGAGTGTAGCAGAACTGGGAACCTTTGCAGTAAATGAAACAGGAAGATGAAGTCTGTGGCCCTAGATTTTCATCCTTGTCATTACAGTAGAATGGCAGGGTGAGGTGATTTCAAAGGCTGTGTGAAGTCCTCTCCGCTTAAGGTAAGTCTTAGCCCGCGTTCTGGTCTTGGAAGCAGTGGTGGTATGGTATGCATTCTGTAGCTTTGAGGGACAGTGGTTCAGCAAGTACTTCCCTCCGTGGGTTGCAAGGATGAGCTCCAGCAGGTTAGTCAAAACCTCTTAATGAGTAACTGGGCTTTGAAATGGCTTGGCTCTCATAGTCAGTTCTTTTATTTACTATCTTTGTGAAGCCTAGGCTCATAAATAGCAGGAAACACCCCCTTTTTTTTCTTCTCTAAAAAGTACCTTTTTGAGGTTGCAAAACTGTATAACTCAAATAATACACTCACAGTGATTTTGAATACTGACTTAATAACAAAAGCATACTTTTATTTGACTCTGTATGTTCTTAAAAGTTATTTTTTTTAAAGATTTTAGTTATTTAGTTATTTGACAGAGAGAGAGAGACAGTGAGAGAGGGAACACAAGCATGGGGAGTGGGAGAGGGAGAAGCACGCTTCGTGTACAGAACAGGGAGCCCAATGCGGGGCTCAGTCCCAGGATCCTGGGATCATGACCTGTGCCGAAGGCAGATGCTTAACAACTGAGGCACCCAGGTGCCCCAGGTTAAGTTATTTTTATTCCAATTTTATGTTGTTGATGGGATCAGAAATTGCTAGTTTTGACAGGACTTCTTATCTCATAACAGCGTATTTTTTTTTCTAAATTTTGTTTGGAATCATATATATATATATATGTACATATATGTATATATACACACACATATAATATATATTTTAGTGTAATTTATTTGTTTATAAAATATATGTTGATACAATTAATATATATTTATAAAATATATGTATATAAACTCAGATTATACTATTTTGGAATTTTGGTAATTAAAACATGTATGCATAGAGTCAAAGTGAAAATCATTCAAAAATATACTGTTTTTATGAAATGGGTGAAAGGTATAGTGTAAGGTGCGATTATAGCTGTAGTAAAATTTTATAAATCCCATTTCACCCCCAGATCACTAAGTCCTTTGGTGATGAGCATTATTTATCAAAATGTGCATGTATTGAGAAGGAAATATGTAAAAATTAAAAAATATAAGATCCAATATTTGTATAATTTTGAGTGAACCAAGGGCATCCTGACAACATTTCCCTATGTCAGGCTTCCTCCAATGTCCATCAGTTGGGTTGTAGGTAAGAAGAGATGTAGGGGGCAAATGAATCAAGACCTCAAACTTAGTAAGCTCAGTCTTTTATTTCTGATGAACAGAGGAGAAGGATATTTGCTTTAGGAACAGGAGCAACTCAACACAAAATAAACATTTTATCATAAGCAGTGGAAATTCTTGGTAATGGGTGAGGGATGAAAATCTCAATATAAAGTAAAACTATTAAAGAATTTTCAAGAAAAATATAGCTACCACAAAATTGGGGGATGATTACTGTTATTACTCATCTTTAGAAGATCTCTAACAGAAAAGATAAATAATCCCCCCATTCTATACAGTACAAAGTTCTAGGGATAAGTCACACAATTCCTGAATCAAAGATTTTTAGTATTTACTATAACATTTAGATAGCATTTTCCATCATTAAACTGTAAACTCTTATGTTAACATTAACTACTTGATTTGCATGTCCATACCTGTCTGGATATTATGAGTAAGGAGAGCTTGGACGAGGATGCTTCGGCAAACCAACTGTGACTTCCATGGTTATAGCATAGCACCCTACATTGAGACTGTTACCCTTCTTCTCTGTGGTAAATGAATGGCTATTTTTTAGGTTTGCTCTATTTTAAAAAATTCTGTTTTCCCAATAACAGACCCCACTTCCAAATGGTATAGTCCATTATAACTTTAAGAGTATTGAATTCAAATACCTGAATGTAATGAACTGAGTCATAACACAACAGAAACAAAAAGAAAGATTACTATGAATGTTTTACATGTCTGAGCAATTTAAAATCTCTTTATAATATTGTTTACAGCCTAAATGGGTTTTGTACCTATTGATGAAACCCTTATAATAGGTATTTCAATATTACTCTTTTGGTGTCATTGAATTATAATGTTGTGATCCAAGATGTCACTTCTTGAACATTTATTATGATCTCTGTCATTGAGAAGCACTTAAATAGAAGGTTAAAATTGCTTGGAAATATCACAGCTATTTTATAACAAGAAATACCTTTTGATACATCTCACATGAAATTTGAAATCTAAAATATCATATACGGGATTTCATTTAAATAGGTTTGTAAATACCACTTTTAATTTTTTTTTGTACTTTGCATTTGAAAAGGGGGTAAACAGAATATATCAACAAGCAGAAAGAAGAACTTCTAGGTGCCAATACGTACTTCCAAGCCCTCACTCATCATCTCCCTTCTAACAAAATTTTGAGTACACAGAGCTTTTCATTATGTTCTGAACTCCATTAAACTACTACTGTATCAAATAGGACAAGTATATTCTTTTTTTTTTTTTTTTTTTTAAAGATTTTATTTATTTATTTGACAGAGGGAGATCACAAGTAGACAGAGAGGCAGGCAGAGAGAGAGATGGGGGGGGAAGCAGGTTCCCTGCTGAGCAGAGAGCCCGATGCGGGACTCGATCCCAGGACCCCGAGATCATGACCTGAGCCGAAGGCAGCGGCTTAACCCACTGAGCCACCCAGGCGCCCCAGGACAAGTATATTCTTGAATGGAGAGATTACATTGAGACAACCTTGCCTTTGTGCAAATTCAGTCTTTCTCATTAATAATATTTGTCTTCTTATTCCTACAACTCTTGTCATGAGGCACAATATTTTACCATTCCATTTCTTCAACATTAATTTCAAATCCAATAAAAAAATCTAATGTCTCACCGAAACAATTCCTAGAATGTATTAGTGCAACTGCATATCAATACAGTGAACACATTAGCGATGGGAAAATGAAAATGCTGAAGTTGTGGCTTTAATGGTGCTCATGTGATGCCTGGTGACAGACACATCCCCAGCACCAGAAGTTTTTCTCCATAGCTACTATCATTTGGGATTTTATGGTGTTATTGTGTGGTTATTTGCTTAAAGTCTCTCCCACTCATTTCTAGGAGGCCAGGTCCAGGCTTGCTGACTGCTGAAAAGCTGTGTCAAGCCCTGTGTCTGATAGATTGCGCTCTGAAATTATATTTGTTGGAGGAAATAATAAATGGGCCAATGCATATATAATAATGTGTACCATAGTAAATGTGGGTAGAAAATGCTGAGATCACTGGGAGAAGAAAGGACAGGAGAGATTAGAAAGACTTCAGTAAGAGTAAACTGAGCTTTGAAATGTTTAATTTTCCAAGCTGGAAAAGGTGGGTCAGAGCACTGGCTTCCAACTATGTTTAAACTCAGTCTGCCACATATGAGCTCTGCCCCTGTGAGTAGAGTTTTCACATGCTTTACTGGGGTTAGTAATAGTACCTGTCAGAAGGGCAGATTAAGGATTAAACAGGGTCACACATGTAAAGTGCTTAGCACCATGTCTGATGCATCCTAAGTGCTCAACATTTGCTAGAAATTATCATGTTTGCTCTCATTATTAGGCAGTGGCCACAGAATAAGCAACCATGAGTTATTGGGATGGAGATAGAGGAGTCAAGAACAAGATAGGTGGAATGAAAGTTTGGGTCACTGATGGATGGTGGGAACAAAGGAGGGATGATATTGACCATGTCTTAAAGAAGAAGAACAGGCTTGGGGAGTGAAAAACAAATTCGGTTTGAAATGTATTGATGATG